CTTGGGGCACTCCACTAGTTACAGGCCTATAACAATTTTGTACTGCATCCCAGATGTAAAAGGTTATTGTATTCTGCAGAGCTTTATCCTGAGGAAAGACATTTCCTGGGTAGGAGGTTTTATATGAGGAAAATGGTACATTTTGGGAAACATACACCACAGGATGGCTGAAAATGGTCTCTGATGTTCCCATAATCATCTGTAGGTTAGCATGTTTTCCAGGCATCTCAGCCCAAGCTGTTGCTTCACTGGTCTTTATAGCAGTAAGGTTTCTAAATGTCTCTCACATATGGCCCAGCAATGCAACGGCCATATGGAGGGTGTCGATATCTGTGCATCCAGTTTAAAAGCAGCTTTGCTGGCTGTCACAGCAACATCTTTGAGTCTGCAAGGATTTCTTTGTGATCATTGCTACAATGCAGATCTGGGGCTGTGCTGCCTCAGTGAAGGTGAAGGGAATTTCACGGATCTGCACTTCAGGAAAGGAGGGCTCTGTATTGTCACTGCGTTGGCCTCTCTGGGAACTGCAAGGGACCCATCTTGGGGACACCTAAATCCAAGTTTTAGCTGTGTGTCTGGGAGAAGGGAGGGAGTGACATGAAGGCACAAAACCCCTATGGCCAATACAACTTTAACAGATTTTGGAACTGGTAAAAGAATATTGCCCATGTCTAGACTTTTTGCTTATGTTCAACTTAAAGAGTTGCAGCTTAGCAAGAGCCAGTCCTTAAAATAGCAGCCTTGAAGGATTTTATTTCTTGTCCTCACAAGGAATTGGTGCTGTGAGTTTAACAGAATTCAGTGCACATCTGAGTAAGCTCTGCATTGTCATTAGACCCCTGCAGTAATCTTCAGCAATGGCTCTTTCTTTAAGTCCTAAAACTATTTGTCCAAATTTCCCTTTGCTTGATTTTTTTTAACTCTAATTTTGAGATGCAGTTAAGTGCCCTATTCCCTTATCATGATTTTTTACGTCTCCTTGAGTTACTGTGGTTATAAGATAGAACTCACAAGGTCTTCATATTGCAAACTGGGCCCTCTTCAACTTAGCTTTGCTAAATTTGTTTACAGTCAGGAAGGAGCTGGAGGAGAGCGTTTGATTTCTTCTTAAATTAAATTGACAGTTACATAACTAGTCTGGTGGTGTTTACTGAAGAAGAAAACAACTGATTTAACTATTATGAAATTAATAATTATGTAATTGACTTTCTGTGCTTTAAACTGTATCATCTTAAAGCTCCTAAGAGCACTGATGAAGATAAGCTCAGAAAATGAGAAAGTTCAACTACTGGAAGTTTACTATGTTGGGATCTAATTAAAATTGTTTATGAGATAAAGCACTATTGTTCCTCTAAGGGGCAACTGAGCCTTTTTAAAATTAATGTAAGGTTCTGCTTATGATGGATGGATAAACATCTAGTTTTGAAATCTAATCCCCTTTGAATAGTTAACATTTTCCTTACTCATCCCAGCAGCTGTTTTCCTTGTGACCTCTGTTATGTTGTCAAATTTAATATTACTGCTCAAAATAGTCTTTACCTGTGCACACGTGTCCACATATCCACACGCATAGACACGTATATGTACACATTTGTTGAAGAAACGTTTGTATTGCTGTACCTGCTGTACATTGGCTTGAAGAAGATCTCCTAAGCGCTCCACAAGCTCGGTGAAAGTAGGTCTCTCCGTGGGCACTCCATGCCAACAGTCCAGCATCGTCTGGTAGCTAGAGAAAAACATGGGTATTAAGAAAGGAGAAGGATAGGAGCTTTGTTTCCAGACCTTTTCTGTCTGCTGCTCCTTGTTTTGGTCATTTTTTGGATTAAGACAAGTTCAAATCTTCATGTGCTGAGATTCTCTTCTCACAATAGAATAGTCATAATAGAAATAAGTCATAGTTATGGATGCCTAGTTTCTGTCACAAAACTGGAAATTGAGGCAGACACAGAAGCCTCCTGAACTACAACTGACACAGGGAGATCTGTTAATCTTCTTATTGGCAAAGGTAAGGCTGACTTGGTCCATCTTTAGCATTTGTCTGTGGTATCAGGATGCCCAAGATACGCACAACTACAACATTTATTGAGAACAAAGTACAAAATACATAGCTTTCATCTGATGAGCTCTCTTTGCTGCTCCACACTTCAATGCAATCTCTTTAGCAACACTGAAATGACATGTGTCAGGTCTCAACAGAAAACCAGGACCTCTTACACTTCTGGAGTGGAGTACTCTGGAGATCTCATCCGGGTCCCTTCTTTGAGCCGTCGGCAAAAGTCCTCATCGATCTGCACTCCAGGGTATGGCGAGGCACCTGAGGGCAGAAATAAGGAGAAGGCTCCAGAATGGCACAGTCCCAATTTCTCAGGATTAAACACATATTGATGATTTCTGCTGAGGATTTGAGATTACCTAGAGTCTGATGGTAAAAGAAGCTAGAGCAAAGAAGGGGTTTCAATCACTTACTATCTACCTGTTTTGTAAGAGTGAGACTTATTTGCCTTTCCTGTGTAAATGGTTACCTTCGGAGGAACGAGCAGCATAAATGTATGTGTGCATTGAATGCACTTTTCTCTTCAACTAAAAGAAGAAGGGGAGCTTTTCAGAGGTTGTGATCTTTGTTGGATGACATCTGCATTTTGTGATGCACCATAAATAAGGGGAACAAATGTGTAATTTGAGAAAGTGCTCCGCCATCTGAGTAAGCCAGACCTCAGAGGTACGATTCAAGAGATGTCCACACTGAAGTCTGAAAGGTCACTGAACCTGTTGTAGATAGACCTAAAAGATCTGTCAGCTTTCATCCCTTCCTTCTCAGCAGAGGCTTCACATGCAGTGCAGCCCTTGTCTTTCACATTTTGGCATCCTAGAGGCTGAATGGTGAATTTGGAAGAAAATTTAATCAAATCTTAACATAGGGGATTGCATGGTATATGGATCTGTATCCAGCCCTCAAGGAATCTGGATATGATTTATCATCTCCAACATTCCTGCCTGTTTCCTGGATTTTTTTTCCTCATTTGGAAACACCATCGTGTGCTGTGCACTTGGGGGCACAACAAGCACAGCAGAAATCTTTTGGATAAAAGGAGTGAAGAGGGTGCCAAAATGTGGCTGTTCCTAGAAATTATTCTACTCTGTGAATGTGACGGCTCAGTCTGCAGAACTGGGCACTGGGCAGCAAAGGTCCCAGCAACTCCCAAAGAGGACGCCTCAACGCAGCAAACAGGCTCCGATGGCATTCAACACTCAGGGATGCTCAGCCACAGCACAGCTGAATTCCCTTGATGTGCAAGTATCAGATCACAATATTAAGAGTGTTTCCTGGAGTTACGTAGATTGAAAATTGTCAGTAGCATCATTTCTGCTTTGTGTCTTGATTTTCCTTCCTGGTTTTGTCTTTGGCCTGTCATGATGAAGATAATAACCTAGTAATTATTATAACCTGAATTATCTTTTTTTTATTACCTCTTTGATCATATCAACTGCAGTATGTTGGTGAGAGCAAGCAGAGGGAAAGCAAAGAAGAATAGTTTTGGCTTGCAAGATCTCTTGGTAGTTTATATTTTGAGCAGTGCTGGCCTCTTACCAGCTGGAGGCAGCTCAAATCTCAAAAGCAAGGAACTCTCCCTTTTCCACCTCCACTCACCGTTGTACCTCATCTGGACTGTGTGAAAAGCCTGATAACTTAACAGGATGCTGAGACAGCTTGGGAGAAATACAGACTGAAACATATGGTGGAAGGTCTACACATGACGTTTTCCTTAGGGGAAATCTCTTCTAAAATGCTCAAAGATGTGGCATGCATTGGATATGGTAGCACTCTTTTGATCTTATTTGGGTTTATTTTAGTAGGATAATAAGATGCTGATGTTATACTGCCAGGCACTGCTTGTTTACATAATTACCTTTGATTGCTTTTTGAATAGTGCACATTTAAATTCCAGGAGACACTGACATTCTGTAATGCGCCATGTAAGTGATTTCAAGAGATATTAAACATTGCTGCATTACCTGACAGGAGGTGTGATGACCCCGTTTAATTAATGCAAAACTCAGCCCGAAATTAAAATTAACAGTCTCAAGTCCTAATTTCTCTGAGTATCACCAAAACGGACCCAGTCTGCCAGCCTTTCTGGAGGAAGCTGATCATGCTTCCTTCAACTTCTGACCCTGGGAGGGCCCGTGTCCAAACCAAACTCTGCATTTTGCTCATCAGTGTCTTTTCCTTTTTAAGAGAGTGCTAAGACTCTGGGCCTCAGTAAAAAGCAGCAGTTGTACATGGAAGCCAAAGCATACCCTGTAGCAACGACAAATAACTTCCATTCCCTGGCTCTCAGTGATCTGTAAAACTTTTATATAAGAGAGTTCAATCAGTGACACAAATCCTTAATTAAATATTTATCGTGTGAGCTGCAGATGTGAGTAGTGCCAAACCACAGACATGCCTGGATGATCTATTTGAAAAACCCTCTTAGAGAAAATGACTGCTTTTGAATCTGTGCCATGGACTGAAGAAAGTGGTTTGTGATCTACGTCATGACAGGGCAGAGGCTGCTCTACGGATGGCAGCCCTTGGAGTCATTTAGTAAATTCCTCTGGATCCAGAAGAGGACAGTCTATTGTTCCAAGTAAGCACCTTCATTAAGAAGAGAGGCTATCTAAAATTAAAAGCAAGCAGATACATTATTTTTAAAAATAGGGATGAATTTCAGTGACTATAGTTAATTTTTATTAGTCTTCAGTATTAAAGGCCAAATGTCATGAAGTTCACGTCTGTTTAACTCTGTCAGGAGCTTTGGGAATGGCATAAACCGTTTCCCTTCTGCAGTGGTCCTTGCTGTTCATCAGCATTCAGCTCGTGTGGTTCCTGGGAGATGCCCAATGGGGAGCATGTCCCCTCTGAGCACATCTCTGCGTGCTAATGCTAATACATCTTCTTGAATAATCTGTTAGCTCTGGTGTTTCAAAACACATGCAGCAGGTGATGCTTTTACAGAGCCATGGAGGTGTTACACCGAAGTAACAAAACTCTAAATAAATAGGACTGAACTCTGGAGGATGCAATACCTGCCACTTGTTTTAACCATTTGAGGATGAACTTTCTGTTTTGCATGCTGATACGAACTAGAGAACAGTCCAAATCAAAGACCTGGACTGAAATCAGGTTGTGATCTTTGCAGCTAGCCCTAAATAAAGATTAGGATAGAAACAGCTGCAGACGTTGCATCCAGATCTGGATTTGGCATCTTGAGCGCACTCATTAATTTCAACTGATCCACCAACCAAAGATAGGAGGAGATTACAGAGTTTGCTTTAAAATTCAGCAGCTTAAGTTGACAGTGCTTCTTGCTTTCTTTTGTCTGCAAATGCTGATTAAAAAGCCAGAGCTGACATTCCAAAATTCCCTCCGGAAAACAATACTTGCCACTCTGCAAGGAGAATTGGAGAGCGGCAAAGTCCAAGCGTCTCTAAGATAGCTTGTCTGAATTTCAGGGCTTTATCTGCTGGACAGTAACCAGAGCTCAGCGAGGCTGAGATTTCTAACAGCACCGTAAGATGAAATCTATTGCACATAAGGAACATCATTACTGTTCTTTCAAAAATGTCACGGCTTGCAAATGATATGACCAGAAGAGTACGCATTCTACCTGCTCGCTGCCAAAATGACTTACGCAGAGTCCAGAGCACTGGTTCTCGTATCAACCTGGTGGCAGCTCCTGCCAATACATTTTTCTTACTTAGGAAATCTTACTTAGATTTTGCAGGGATGATAATGAAGCTGGGATAAAATGTCATGTGGGCAAACTCCCTTGTGCTCCCTGGGCTGCCACTACCAACACCAGACTCCGGCATCGGCAGCAGCGTAATCCTCTGCAGCCTTGGAGCTGCAGTGATTTTCCAAAGCAGGCTGCTAAGGGGAAAATATGGTTTGACAGGGAAACTTCTTCATTGGTCTCAAAGAAGTATTTCACTCCTAAGCAACAGAGGCTTATATTATGTCTACGCTCTGTTGGTTTCAATTATTAATAATGTTAGGTCCAGGGTTTTGGAATTTCTGTGCCCTCCTCCCTCCCCCCAGTATTCTCTATTTTCATGTACTTTGCCAGGTGGAGTTCTCTCTGACTTCAGTTCAGTGACTTTATTTTCCCCCTGATCTGCACTGTGCAATTGTATTAACCAAAATAGAAACATAGCCCCATGTTATCATCTTTTGTTTAAAGCTTTTCATAGCAAGAGAGTCATAAATTAGGGGAAAAAAAAGTCTTAAACCATTCTTACCTAGAGAAAATATTTCCCATAGCAGCACTCCAAAAGACCATACGTCACTCTGTGTTGTGTAAATTTTATCGAAAATAGCTTCGGGAGCCATCCATTTGAGTGGAAGTCTTGCCTGAAAATGCAAAAGACGCAACACGTGGCCAGAACTGTTGTTACGAATCTGCCCAAGCCCTAGAGGAATAAAAACTCGAGATTAGCAGCTCAGGTTTCTTCTACTTACATCTCCTTTCCGTACATAGTCGGGGTCCTTATAGATATCCCTGGCCAGCCCAAAGTCACAGATCTTCACCACGTTGTTCTCCGAAAGAAGGATGTTCCTCGCTGCCAAGTCCCGGTGAATGCACTGGGAAGGAATGAGGACGAGTGAGATCAGAGGCTCTGCCTGGACAACGAGCCCCTGCTGGGGCTGAAAGCATGAGAGCTTCTTTGGAAATGGAAAAATAAATGAACTTTTGTGGTGAGCAGGTTAGAGAGGGAAGTTGCTGCAAATGTACTGTCATAAGCAAATGAGAAAAGAACTCGGGGACAAGCCAAAGATTACAGTTGGTTTTCTGATTTGTCTGTGTGAACTGTCAGAGTTATGGCAAGACGAAGGCAGTGCCATTTTCCAGTTAATTGTTCTGCAGCAAATCTGGCAGAGGTCAAAAAGCAGCTGCAGCTACATTTGCACATTTTTTGTGTCGAAAAGAGGTGCTGACTTTGCTGATAATGTCCAGCATTACTGACAAGCTCAATAAAGAGCTGTAGACTCCCCACTCCAGTTTTCAGTAGTACTTTCTTTGACCATGCCAGAAGGATCTGAGAAGCCTTTTCTGTGTTTATTTATGAGACAATTCCACAAATTGCCTTACAATCTGTATTCACTCTTCTATCTAAATGCTCATGGTACAGATGCCACTCCTGATAGCCAAGAGCGTGATGGATATTCCCTCACAACTCCTTCAGTGCTACTCACTGCTTAATTGCCAGAGCTAAAGTAATCTCCAACACTTATATAAGTGTGAATATAAGAGCGAAAAAGCAGATTACACAGGCTCTCAAAAGCATATTTGGATTTCTTTATATCAGAGACTCATGATTCTGTGAAAGAAGTTCAGCCCTGACGTTTTAATGAGCTCACTTTTCGGGAGGCGAGAAACTCCATGCCTTTTGCCACTTGGAAGCTATAGCAAATCAGGTCCTCCAAAGTCAGGGGCCTCTTGTACAGATCCTCAGCATCTAGGAGAGAGCACAGACACAGCAAAACACTCGAGCAACAGCTACAGACTTTTTTAGCACTTTTCTTGCATGATGATGACCCCAGCCCTGCATCTGAGTGTGGTCACACGAGTTCTCTACCAGGGTTACAACTCTGGTGCAGGAACCACTGACCTAGAGGCAGAAGATCAGATGATTAAAAAAGGTCCATCCAACATTAATCACATCATTTAGCCATGGGGAAAACAACATCTGGGGATAAAAGTGAGGGAAAATATTTCTAGCGAGTGATGAGACTGAGGACAGACTGGCCCATAAATCTTCTGGGAAAATATTGCTATTGCTGCTCTTACACAACAGGAGCAGCTTTTATATGTGTTCATTACTGCAAATCTCTTTTTGTGAGAAAGTTGGAGTGGAGCACAGGCGAGAGAGAATTTGCAATTTTGGGAACAAGTCGAGCTGTGTAAGGACTTGTGAAGTGTGTGACAGTGTGTGGCACTGTGTGTCAAGTGACAGAAATCATTACAATATAAAATATGGGATGAGGTAGGTTTCTTTTACCTTCTTCGTCATCTTCTGAATCGCTGTAACTCTTATCTTCAATAAATCCTGAGCTGGCAGAGCTTCCTGTGCTGGCTACGCTCTCGAGGCGCCTCTTGATCAGTTCAGTCAAATCACAGTTGGACTCGTCCAGGCTTTTCTCTGCTTGGTCAGAGTTTTCCTGGGACTAGAAATGGTAGAAAACCGAGTTTTACCTTTGGATGATTCAATGCCTGGGCATTCAAAATATGTACAAGAATGGCATATGGAGAAAGTGTCCTCAGGACATGATCTCGAAACACGTTTGAACGTGATGTTCCCTGGAGAGCAGAACTGATGAAGCCTTGTTTCCTATTAATTAATGCATAACCTCCCATTTTACTGATAGCAATATTTCCCCATAAAAGTTAGCTGGAAGCTGGCTGGGTGAGACTGACAGTTGAGCAGAGAGATTTTGTAATTCTGAACCTCTTGCTTTCTTAGGAAACCAAGCTAAAGCTCGCAGTTAAAGGTATGTGCGTGATGTGCACTGAAACGCATTTGTCTCACTCTCTCCTGGGCAGTGAGACATAACCAGTCCCCGCAATTCATGAAAACAATGGTGAGAAAAGAGATTTTGAGTCACTGTACCAGGAAAATCTTCTCTGACACAGAGTACCGTATGTACTTTTGTGTCTGTACACAATAGGTATAATAATAATAATAATAATAGAATCATCCGGGAAAATAATCTCTGGGAGGCTGCAGTTTCTGGCAGCACTCAGATGAGAGAACCCTTTCAATGTTGTGTTTTCACAGTGAGGAGGGCGTCCCATCCCGTCCCCATCATTTCTGGCCTCCTATGTCTTCCCCCATATCCCAGCCCAATTTATGCTCACGCGAATGTTTCTGTGGAAGCAGACAACTATTTGGAAACCAACCCCACGTGGTTTGTTTTAATGCAGGCCATGTTCATGATCCAGTTTGCTGCGTACAGCACAGACCTTCAGGTTGGCACAGGGGAAAGGAGAACACAGAATTGGGAATGAGCAGGTGATGGAAAGGAGTTTTTCACTACTACTTTGTTGCCCCCCTTGCGCAAGTAATTCCCTCTCTCCCTCAAATACATTCAAGTGCTTGGGTATTTGCAACTAATTCTTTAGTAGAAGCTAGAAAAGAAAAGGATGGGGGTGAGATCCTACAGGGAAAAAAGTTTCCTTTTCTTGCTTGTATAAGTTGAAATTGTCGTGAGAAAATCAAGTGCCTACATAAATACCAAACTTTCTCTGTGCCAATGCAGGAAAAAATCCCATGTGTAGCATGGGGTTGTTAATTCTCTGCCTTGCGACTATGAGAAGCCTATCAATTTTTCACCTTGTATGCAATGAAATCTCCTCGTTTTCCTCTTAAGTAGTTGGACAGATTTCCATATTTACAATATTCGACGATGACCATTAAAGGACCTAAAAAGACAGTGAAAGTCAAATGAGTTTTGAAGCACTGCAGAGCACTTAATACTAAATTATCCTCACAAATCCTTTTCAGAATCAGTAAAAGCTGTCATTCCTGTTATACAGGTGAGGAAATCAGGAAACAGAGAAGTGACACTGCAGAAGCACACAGTCAGCAGGGGATTTGAGAGAACTGATTCTTAGTTTTCCCCAGTAGATGCTAACAGTTGGTATTGATTCCTTATTTATAAACAACGAAAATTCAGAATGATAAATACGAATATGTAATCCCACATGCTGTTAAGGTTGTTGTACTCTATACATCGATCCATAGCACAGAGCAGTCTTCATTTTTCTCTGCTGCCTTCCCAATTGTTTGTTTTGGGCAGAGCTGATGCCACTAGAGGCAATAAAAGTATGCAGAATCATAGACAGATCTAAATCAAAAGTTGCAAAAATATTTAGTCTGAAGTTTTTGAAAGCCTGGGAAGTCCTATCCACTGCTTGCTTGCTTATTTCTGTGCAAACTACTGTAGAATTCAGCGTAATTGCTGCCTTTATACAATTACACGTGTTTTTAAGATCTTGAAAATGCTTTTATGTTTCAGTGTGAGCTATTAGGAGATGGAGAAGCTACATTCTCTTCCTTTAGCATAATCACTGCTCTTTGTAATCATGAGCTGTAAGACAAGGTGAAATCGTGGGGCTAGAATGCATATAAACACATATGATTATCAATCCTAATAACGATAATAACATTGCGTATTCTGCCAGGTGTTTTATTGGCACAAGTCCTGTGGCACTGCTGGATTGAATCCACACCTCTGGGCTGTTCAGCACTTCCAGTTCCTCTTGGCTGCAGCTGAAATATGTTCAGCACCTGAGGATGCTGTGCCAGGGGTTGCAAAACCACAAGTGGCCCCAGATCAGAGCTGTCAGGCGTTCCGCTGCTGACCACACGGCTCTGCTCGCCCGGGCTAAGGGCAGCAGCGCTGGGATCTGGCAGTGTACAGGAGATCTCTGGGGGACCTTGTTCTGAAGAACCTAAAGTTGATGTCCCTCACGGATGCCCTGAGGAAATGCAGATTCCAGTCTGGCTTTAAAGCTTCAGTTGGTGTTTTGTTCATGTTTTTGAAATGCTTCCTAGACATGGCCTCTGCATATTTTATTTCCTCACTGTAAAGCATATACCATGCATTAGTTCTAACTGCTTAACATCAGACGCTCAGCCAAGGTGTTAAAATTTGTTATTTGTTATATTGTTAAAATAATATATGTGCATACTTAATATCAGTCTTCATGGGGAATACTGTTATATGGTTACATAAAACCTAACAACGAAGGAGAAAGCACTGTATTCTGCAATGGCATTTTAACAGTAACTCTTATCCCAGTGTCTGTCTTGAGAGCTCCCGGCTGTTTTTCTTTAGTCTGCAGTTGCATTGCTCAAAGGTGAACAAATCAGTGCCTGCCCAGAGGCTTCTCAGTGCCTGTAAGGCTCCCCAATGCCTGTAAGGCTGAGCTGCGCTGCTCTGCTTCATCCACTGCTTCCCAGAGTAACTGATGGTTGTCCTGGGCAGGCAGTGGGGAGAGCGAGGGCTACCTTTTTACCCAGGAGGGCAATCGGGATGGAGCAAGCTGGAGAATGGGAAACTGAGGGATCCCCAAGGGATGTTCATCAAAGACTGGATAATCACGGTATTTGATCAGTTACTGAGATGTGTCTTACTGTGCAGCTAGAAATGAATTAGTGCTTTGCTTAAAAACCGTCGAGCTCTTAGTGATGCTCCCATGTTTTAGACACCTGTTTGTATTAAGCCACCTCATTCACTTGTCAGGAGAGGAGAATCGCCAGCATTCATGGTGTTACTTCTCTACTCGCAGTCCCAAGCAAACGCTCCTTGCTTATGCATCTGAATCTTAAAAGCCTCCAGCCCAAGCTGGCTGTCCTCTCATATGAGCTTTTGGGGTCTGCGGTGGTACAGCAGTTCCTGCAAGTTCCCTGCTCATGGCTCCCAGATCACAGCAGCATCTGTGGTTGCTGGTGCTGGCAGCTCCATGAGGAACTGGGAATACTTTGCTGAGGGTAAGGTTTTTCTTGGCATCCCACCAGATCCACCTCACTGAAGTTCTCTTTTTTCCCTTGTGACTGGACAACTACACGTTCTTTGGGAAGATGATAGCTTTGGAATCTCAGATGACAACAGATGT